GAGATTGTACGCCACGAGGTGGCTTGATATTGATATGAGGCCGAGAGCCTGTTTATGATGCCACGAGATGGCTTGATATTGCGCTTGGGCGGTAAGGGGCCCCTCCAGGAGTCTGCACACCCCCAGTGAGCGCGGGTACCCATTGTGATGTGAGATATAGCCCGAGGGGCTGGTATTGTTTTATGTGATTGCCCGAGGGGCTGGTATTGATCTGAGATATTGCCCGAGGGGCGGAGTTGTTGAGTTATAGCCCGAGGGGCGAACCTTTACGTGTTTATCTGTTTATTTACCTGTCATTTACTTGTTTAGTTGTGTAACTGTGCCCGAGGGGCGGATTCTCTATGCTTAACTGTTCTAGTTGTTTTGCATTCAATTGCTTAACTGTTGAAAAGCCATTTTTGAAGAAGTTTTAAACTGAGCTAAGATGCTTTAAGAGATTTCACAGCTTCATTGCTTTCTTACTGGTTTTGTACTACTTCTATACAGCATGCTGATGCACTTTTCGTGATTTCTTATCACAGTCATTATTTATGGTTATTACTCACTGAGTCGGAGTACTCACTTTACTCCTTGCACCTTGTGTGCAGATTCAGGTATTTTCTGAACCCGATAGCGAGTATTGGTTGATCGGAGGCAGAGTCATCGGAGTTTAGCAAGGTAGCTGCCGGCGCTCGTAGCACTGCTTTTCTCCCTCTTTATTCTATTAGTCTATACTTAGTACATTTCAGACTTTGTCAGTCGTATTTAGACCTTAGTTGATGCTCATGACTAGTGACACCCCGGTTTGGGCTGTGTTTGGGTTGTACTTATGAATTGTTATGATATTATTTGCTACTTAGTATTATTAAATCATGTTTTAGCCTGTTTTATTGCTGTTTAGTTGTTTAACTTCGAATTGGAAATGTGTCGGCTGGCCTTGTTTTCACGAGAGGCGCCATCACGACCGGATCTGGGTTTAGGGTCGTGACACAAAACATCATAAAATTGTCACAAGGTCAGTTCGATCCCTCACCTTAAGGATGACATGGTGAGCTTCTACCACTGGCACCTTAGTGACTTTTGTTACTCTGAGTGGCAACCTTATTATTTAACCGATTTCGGGCATATAAATACATATATACATATAATTTCTATCGAAGCTTGCTAGTTGCGTACCACCCCTGGGGCCTTAATAGATTCTTCCCTGGATGCGTTAGATGTATAGTGGTAGCATGTTGAAGAATTGGGGATGGATGAGTTTAACATTTATAAATTGATGTGTGCAAAATAGTTTGTGCACTACCATGTCACCTAAAAAGATAACTACATATAACTAATTATAATAAGTAGAGTTAATTATTTTGAAAATAAGGTGGGTAAACATTCAACAACATGTTAAATTATAATGATTGTGTATACTCATTTATGCTATTAATTTGTGTATTAGTTAAATCCAGGGGAGAGGGTGGTGGAGTTGAGGTTGTGAAGGATTGTGACTATTTCTGAAAACTAGTTCGGATATATGTTGGGACGTTCGACTACGGAAGCTATACATCTTGTTAGGAGGTTGATGGCAATATAGGGAGAGGAAGAGGGATTATATATGGTGTTCATCCACTTAGAGAAGACTTACGATAAAGTGCCGAAGGAGGTTCTGAGTAGATGTTTGGAGGCTAGAAGTGTTCATGTCGCATACATGTAGGGCTATTAAGGACTTGTATGATGGAGCTCAGACTCGAGTGAGGACTATGGGAGAGGACTCGGAACACTTCTTGATTATGATGGGGTTGCACCAAGGGTCAACCCTCAACCTATTTTTATTTGCCTTGGCGATCGACACACTAGCACACAACATTCAAGGGGAGGTGTTGTGGTGCATGTTATATGCAGATGGCATTGTACTGATTGACGAGACACGAGGCGGTGTTAATGAAAGGTTGGAGGTATGGATGCAGACACTGGAGTTTAAAGGTTTCAAGTTAAGCAGGAGCACGATAGAATACTTGGAGTGCAAGTTAAGTGGTGTGACTCAGGTAGTGAATGAAGACGTGTGGCTTCATTCTCAAGTCATCTCTAGGAGAGAAAGTTTTAAATACCTTAGGTCAGTTATACAAGGGAATGGATAGATCGACGAGAATGTTACACATCGTACTAGGGCAGCGCTGATGAAATGGAGGCTCGTTTTCGGTGTTTTGTGTGATAAGAATGTGCCACAACAAATTAAAGGTAAGTTCTATAGCGGTGGTCAGACCGACTATATATGGGGCGGAGTGCTGGCCAGTCAAGAACTCCCATGTCCAAAAGATGAAGGTGGTTGGATGAGGATGTTGAGATGGATGTGCAGGCATACCAGGTTAGATAGAATTAGAAATGAAGCTATTCGGGACAAGGTGAGTGTAGCTCTTGTGGAGGACAAGATGCGGGAGGCAAGACTTACATGGATCGGGCATGTGAAGAGGAGAGGTATAGATGCTCCGGTTAGGAGGTGTGAGAGGTTGGCCCTGGAGGGCCTAAGTAGAGTAGAGGCAGGCCGAAGAAGTATCAGGGAGAGGTAATTAGGCAGGATATGGTGTTGCTCCAGCTTACTGAGGATATGGCGTTGCTCCAGGAAGGTATGGAGGTTGAGAATAAAGGTAAAGGATTAGGATAGGTAGCTGAGCGTTGTCCTGTCTGTAATAGTAGCTCCAGTACATGACTTAGTGTCATTTGTGTATTTTCGTATTACTTGACTTCTGTTATTACTTGTTGTTGCTTTCGTTTCGGCTTTCTGATTACAATATCTACTGTTAGTTTGTATTTTTGCTTCGGTTTTCTGATTGGTGTGCTTGTTGTTGCTCTTCCTTTTACCTTTCCTGAGCCGATGGTCTACCAGAAATAGCCTCTCTGTCTTCTTGAAGGTAGGGGTAAGGTCTGCGTACACTCTATCCTCCCTAGACCCCACATGTGGAATTACGCTGAGTTTGTTATTGTTGTTGTAGTTAAATCCAGGACAATAATAGCAGTTTACTGCACTCTACTTGGGAGATGGATTTAGCTCATGAAGATCCAAGCAAAGACTGTTTCAAAGTGCTAGTAATCTCCACTTAATCCTCACTTTTGTAATTTGTAATTTATAAAATCCTAAAAATGATTTCCTGATTGTTATTTTGTACTTGCAATTGCAGCAAGTTTATGACAAGAATATATTTTCTCTCGATGATAAAATGGGGGGATGCGAAACTTGACATATTTCCATTTATAAATGCCGTAAGAAAGCGCTTCGAAAATATTCCGGATGGAACCATAATTACCACAATAAAGCCAAGTAGGCAAAATTGTTTCTCTAAAGAAAGTTGTATTGTCTGGGAAAATGGCCAGGTTGTTCAAAATGTGCATTAGATTGCGAAATACTGAGCGCCGTGAAATAGAGCTTTTACTGATTCCAAGGGTGTGTAGTTATTTTTTTTTTAAGAGAAAAGTATTATTATAAATTAATTGTGAGTACAATTCTATTTGTTCCCTTATTTTTTTCTCCGAATTATTTGTGTGTTTGTCGAATGTAGGATGATGCGAACTTTTCTTGGATGTATTCAATCTCCATGAAAGTCGAACATTATGCGGATTTTCTTCTTGAAGTATTTGATTATTAAGAAGCGATCGATCGTGCTCTAAATTGATCTTGGGGAAGAACTGTCAAACTTGAAAAAGACACAATTAGTTGTCTTAATCTGTTTGTGAAATCCCAAGAGTTTACGGGATTTTCGAGATGATCTCTTCGTCAATATATCAAGTTTATGGAATTTCGAGATGATCTCCTTGTGAATATTCCAAGTTTATGGGATTTTCGAGATGTCTGTAATTACTTATAACACCCTTTGTTCTATTCCTCATGTACAATAATTATGCTTCGTAGATACCTAATGAACTAGTTTATTATTATTGATGATCTTCACATGATACTATTATTTTCTTTTCTACTATATATATGAGGCTAAGGTGGACGAACACTGCAACCCATATTTGTACTAAAAGCAACGTGAACTGTACTATAAACTTGGACATATCCTATTGGGTGATATAATTTTTTGCCCTTCTCCTCTAAACGCGTGTACTGCAATTCAATTAGAGCCCTTCAATATCCCTCATTTAGGTACACGTGTTTGTCTCTTTTAAGTATCTTCTCCATTTTCACTTAAATTCCTTCTTACCTCAGACTTCATTGTTCGTTCTACTTCTCTCTTTTCCTCTCTCTCACTTACACTCTGTTTGGATCATTGTTTCCCGTCGTTTTATAATGTATTATATTGTATTGTATCGTATCGTTTTATAAATACAATGTTTGGATAGATTGTATTGTTCGTTATTGTTAAATAATATTTTGTTGTTTGGTTTAACTGTATCGTACTGTACTGTAACTGATAAGTTTACTAAAATACCCTCAATTATTTAAATATTAAATTTATCATAAATTATGCATAAAATAATTTTACAAAATAAAACAAAAGAAAGCAAAACGAACAAAGGAGCGAGACAGAAGAAGGCAAAACAAAGGAGCACATCTAATTAGAATTGAGTTAAAAGCAAATTAGGAGAAAAAATAAAACAGAAGGCGGCAAAATACCTTTAACGTTGGCGGTAGAAGTTCTGGAAAAAAATTAAGTAGGTTATAGGTTGGAAATTTGGAGTTAAAATAGAAAAAAAGGTGAAGGATAAAATAGAATTGTGGAGTAATAACTTAGGGCATAATTGGAAAGAAAAGAAGGAAACAATCCCAACACACCAAATCGGTTGTTTAAAAAAAAGTGACTTTTCATTGTTCCGAAACAATGGATTTAACAATACAATACAACCAATTTTAATGAAACAATTAATATTTAACATTGTTTTGGGATAACAATACAATACCATACAACGGGTAACAACCATCCAAACAAGCTGTTAGTTTTATATCTCATCTGGAGTACTATATATCCTATTTTCTGCAAAATTGATGCATTTATTTTGTTCCAAATTGATCCTTTTTCGGCGTTGCTTGGTAAACTCTCTTTCGATGTCTTTGTGCTATTTTTTTTCCATTCTTTTCAATCAGTTATGGGTATTCTATTGAGATGGTTGGAATGATTAATGGTATAAAGAGTCCTGTGCCTTTTTCTGCGTAGATAATTTAGTTTAAAGGTATATCTCTTATTGATTTGGAAAAGAATTGTCTTTTTTCAGTTCTTTGAACTTTGTATGTGTCGGAGGACTCACGACTACGAAATGGCTATTTAAAGTTACTGAATGCGGGGTTTTTTCTATTTTTGTTCATATTTTATTTGAATTGCTGTTGAAGAAAGATCTATGCCCCAAATTTATAATGTGATTTTACTACAAAGCCTTGAATCTATTCCAGGTGATTTGTTCCTCATGACAGTTTTTCAGCTCCTATGCAGCTTACGATAGTTTATTCTTGCATTAATTTCTATTGACTTTTTTGGGTATTCCTTTGTCTTTATAATATCTCTTCAATTGCTCTCCTTTCTTTATTCAATTAAATGAACATGCACTATTTCTAGGAATTTTGCTTAAATAAGGAAAAATCTGGACTCTTGATTTAATTTTGGTTTATCTGACTTTTCTGCAAATGCTTTTCTGATGTAGATGACCGAGGTGGGATTATCATTCAATTATCTCTTTGTTCTTCCAAATACTTAGGTTGATTCGTTTTCTTTTTACTCTCATTTCATTTGAGGATGGGGGACGAATTGAATGTAGTTCTGGGATTATGACGTTCTGTTTAAAGATGTTTCTTTTATTCAAACAAATCCAAGATATTTATTCAAATTAATGATTAGCCTGAGATAGTCCCATCTGTTATCAGGTAGCTTACATGTCTCTGATTTTATATAGTGCTTTCTGTTCCCTATATTTTGCTTTTGTCCTTAACATAACTTCCCCCTTTTTCAGTCATTTGCTTCTTAAAAAGAAAAAAGCAACACATACTTATATGAATGCCGATCCTAATTCACAGGTTCAACTGTATTATTGTCCATCATAATTAAGTCTAGAAAAGGAGTTTGATTGGCTAGATTTCTCTAAGTGCGCTGTAGAAGTTGTGTCACAAGTTTAATGGCATTCTTTTGAAAAAGATTGGTAAGCTTTTTAGAAAGAAATATCATTTTAGCTTTTCAACTAATGATGTGGAATTAAATTCCTAGTTAAGTGACTTTCTATTCAAATAAAAGGTCATGAAAAGATAAAACAACATAGTTGTACGTAGTGAGTGGCCGGGTCAGTCACTTTATGTTTCTAGAGATGCAAAACTATTGACGCTGATATGAGAGGCACTCAATAGTAGATTTCTTACTTTTCCACCTTATACATTAATCATCTAAACTCTTATAAGCATTTATATCATTTCGTCGGTCTTAAGAAGGTGGATCTGAAGTTGTGAGATTCTTCTCCTCTCCTTTTTTCTCGTGTGAGTAATTTATGTTGAAATAAAGGTCGTCTCATCCATCTTTTTGGGTCTTTTTTTACGAGTTCTTGCTGGCTCTTTCACAAGGTAAACTCTATTAACCAAGGTAAGCTAGAAAATTGTATCAATATCAATTGCTTTCTTCATTGTTCTGCATTTCTTTGCACTTCCCTTTATTCTCATATTGCCTTTCTCTTTCTTTCTTTCATCAGTTTTATTCACTTCTAGCTTGATCGTTTTTCTGTTCATCAGTCTTCTCCTTTGCGTTTATGATGATCCAACAAGTATCTCATTTCGTTGTCGTGTTTAATAAATTAATCCTCTGGGTTTTTATACAGGAAATGGTCTCTTGGGAGAACTGATACCAATGCTTTTGTCGGCAAAGTTCCCTTGCCACAACAACAGGCTTGTTGCACTTGCCTACTTGGAAATAGTAACAAGGTATATGAAAATTTTCAGGAGAATACACAATGCATTCCCTTAGTTTTGAGCGCCTTTCTTGATGAAAGAGGTATACATCACTGGAATAGCAATGTGAGTCGAAGGGCAAGTTACCTTTTCATTATGTTTGTGAAACTGCTCAAAGCAGAACTTGTACCCTGCTTAGAGACTATTCTACAAGTATTAATTTTCCCATCCCTTTCTTTGTTTCATCTTTAAGTTTCAGTGAATAGGGAAAATTTCATTTTCTTTTCTTTGGATTCTGTTTCTAAAACCCTCACTTTATATGTTTATTCAGAATCTACAAGATACAGTTGCTCAATTCACAACAATATGTGCTTCTTCCAAGGAGCTTTCTGATTTTTGAGGTGCATACATGATTTGAGCATGTGCTTCGGCAAAGTTTTGTCGGCGACTGGCTTATTAATTGGAATGAAAGATGTACCACTTGAGAAGCAATCTTATTTTCTGTCCTCCTTGCTTACTCCTCTTTGTCAGCAGGTAAATTGAATATTCTTTTGATGTTCTGATTAGCTGGATGTATATGCACTCAAATGGAACCTATGGTGTTCATATTGTATGGTTGCATGTAATGCAAGTATTTCTAGACACATACTTTATATTAATTAAATGAACTAACTGTAGATACTTTTAACAGGTTGAGGCTCTTATATGCCAAAGCTCAGAATTTTCAGAACCTAACTCACTTCTTCCACGTATATGTCTATTACAGTATTGCTACTGTTTATCTATTGTGTTAAAAGTGAAAATTAGATATAACTCACAATTATCGAGATATATTCTACTACTAAATTGTAAATACTACTCTAATAAAGTTATCAGTATTTGGAAAAGAATGTCTGCAAACAAAGATACTACAGATTTTAGTATATCGACTTCGATAGACTAAGGAACAACAATTTAAATGCTAATATGAACAATTTCGGTTAAGATAGTTTATAGCATAAAAAAGTTTAAACAAGGGGTTTGAATTTTGTTTAAAATATGGGGTACTGAGTACTTTGTTTGATGGTTTCTAACCCTTGGAGATGAAGAGTATGAGTTGATGGAAGAAATCAGAAGATGATTATAAACTGCTATCTGGATTGTTTTAAGGATGGAATATCTTTAATTTATTTGTTGTGCTTGGAATATCTTACCTTACTGATTCTTCATCCATTAGATAAAATATTTACTTATGCATAATGTCTGCATATGACTTGCGTCTTATTGGAAAAAGTGAGATTGCAGCTTCTAAATGTAGCATCCAACTATATAAACTAACAAAAGTTAGCTAAAAATTATCAACACTAACTGTCCAGAAAAAACTTTTCTTGAAGCCACCAAAAATTTGATGTAGTAGTAAGTACCCCCCTCCCCCCCTACCCCCCCCCCCCTCCCCCCTCTCTCTCTCTCTCTCCTTTTACACAATTCTGATTATAGTTTTCTATTTCTTTTACTCTTAGTTCTTTTGGGTGCAAATTTGGAATTATAACGATTTAATTGTGACTTTCCAATTATCTATTCCCTCCCACTTGAAATGCAATCTCTTCTTCCACTTGATTTTCCTAGAGCTAAATATACACACTCATAAAGAATGATGGTCAATTGAGTTAGGTTCCCCTCTTAAACTTCCGCCTTTTATTTTTTGGTCGCATATTAAAGATGCAACTGCCTTCTTTGGCTAATTCGTGTGACCATAAATAAAAACAAAATGTAAAATGAGTTTTCTTTCTTCTCTTTTTGGGCGATTAGTTGGCATATACCGGTTGGCCAATTAGAGAGTCGGAGTATCGATGTAAATTGATCAATCCAGATGACTTCTATTTGATAGAAAAGCTAATAATCGGATTTCAGTCCTTCTCTAAGCTATTTGTTTTTTCATTAGATTTGATTATTGGCATGCATAATGCGTAGACGTGTTAAATATATGAGGCTCTGCCTGTTACATTTACTTTGTGGTTCTCCAATTTCTGTGTACTCTTTTCACTTTGAACTTTTTGGTTGATTGGTGTTTAACTTGGCTTTGAAGGTACTTTAAAACACCTTCCAGTGGTGTCATTTTTGGAATAGTTGAGGTTGGCTACCAAGTTGGAGACTATAGCTCCAACTCAGGTGAAATAATGAAACTAGATGTGTTCGAAGATACAAACATTTTATTTACTTCTGAAAAGGATTCTACTAGACAATGTATTTATGTCGTTCACACATTGTAGAAAAAGTATCCTATTAAGGACAATGATGTACATAGATGTCTTTTTCTTATGGTCTTTTTCTTCACATGTAAAAAATCATTTTTTTGGTAACTTTCATTACATCAGTGTGAAGGTTGTTAGGTGCTAGATGAGTTCTCGCATGAATCGTTGGGAGTACCAGATTTCATTTGCAGAGTGGTGATAACTAGGGATTTTAACGTGTTTTACTCTCCTTTTTGCTTACGCTTTGGTTATAAATTGTTACAAAATAGTCCCAAAAGGCTCATAAGTGTGCTTGATTGCAGGTTTGATCGACAAAGTGACGAAATGTCAAAGATCGGCTCAAAGGGAGTGAAACCTGCTCAAGTATCAAAGACAAGGCAAACTGAGGGCAAAAAGGCCTAGTGCGGCCGCATTCGACTTTGTGCGGTCCGCACTAGGTAGATTCAGAGAGATGGCAAAATCAGGCTTCAGGCAACGCGACCGCATTACACATTACGCGGTCCGCGGTGAAGGCTCCGCGGCCGCACTACCACTTTGTGCGGTCCGCGGAAGAGAGATTCAGAGAGTTAAAATTTGCCATGGTTCAAGCTGTGCGGTCCGCAGTCATACTTGTGCGGACCGCGTTAGAGACCTCCGCTGCCGCAGTCCATTCTACGCGGTTCGCGGAGCCCAAGTTCAGAGAGCCCAGATTTGAAGTCCAAGAGCCTAGTGCGGCCGCGGTCCATTTTGTGCGGCCTGCACTGACCCCGCAGGGGCATTTTTGTCTAGTTTTTCCAGCCTAGTATAAATAGAACATTTTACCATTTTTAGGTCATATGTTAACACCAGAACTGAGCTGTGCTTGTGGGAACTTCATCTGTAGCCATTTTTGGCATCTTAGCTTCAAATTAACGATAGATTCTTGTATTTTAATTTAGCATTTAATTAATATGTCTTGTTTATCATCTATTTATTTATTTTCTTCTTCAAGCATGAGTAGCTAAACCCATTAGCTAGGGTTGTGACTCAACCCTAGTGTGAGTAATTGATGGTGTTGCCATCTAGGGTTAGATTGACTATGTGTGTTTGCTATTTGGGTTAATTTTATGTTTTAATCTATGAATTGGTGGTTGCAAACACTGATTTGAGCTTTGTTGATTTGACTCTTCTTGAGAAAGAGAGTCTAAATCTCCAAAATTGACCCAACAAGGAATTGGGATGGACTCATGAGAAATGATAGTCCCAATTAACGGGTTAAACATCGAGAGAGTAATCACCCTACTTGAACCCTAGTTGCTTGATCTAATTTGCCTACTCCATTTGGTCTCGAGAGAGTCAATTGAGCAAAATCACTCTCTCTACCGAGAGGTGTGAGAGTGCGTAAAATTGTGCAACGGTTATAGCATAAGCCCCAATTATGTCAATCGAACCTTAGTAGCATCTACCCGTCAATTAGCCACCTAGGTGATGTCACGACCCTAGTGCCCTTCTTCCCATTAGATACAACTCTTAGCAATTATCTAGTAGCTTAATCTAGTTCAATCCTAATTAGTAGTTTTATAATAGTAGTTTATAAAAAAAAAAACCAAAAATGTTGGAAGTGACATTTGGAACAATTATACGATTCTAGACTAGATAGATACATCAACTCCCTTTCTAGCTCCCTGAGGAATTCGATCCCGACCCTCATATCGGGTAAAAGCTATTGCGACCCTCTCTTGCTACCTTTTATTGGTGCGGATTAGGCAGCGATCAACTTTTTGGTTCACAAAATTTCTAAGTATGGGATTGAAGTAGATAAAGCTAAGATTGAGGTGATTTCAAGGCTTCCTACCCCCACTTCTGTCAAAGGGGTGAGAAGTTTCCTTGGGCATGCGAGGTTCTACCGGCGATTTATCAAGGATTTTTCGAAGGTTGTGAATCCCCTTTGCAAGTTGCTAGAGAAAGATTCTAAGTTTGTGTTTGATGAACAATGCATGGAGGCCATTGAACTTTTAAAGCATAAGTTGACAACTACCCCGATCATTACCGCACCTAATTGGAGCTTGCCTTTCGAGCTCATGTGCGACGCCAGTGATGTTGCGGTTGGGGCAGTTTTGGGTCAAAGAGTGAACAAAATGTTTCATCCCGTGTACTATGCAAGCAAGACTATGAATGAAGCTCAACGGAACTACACGGTGACGGAGAAGCAATTATTGGCTATTGTGTTCGCCATGGAAAAATTTCGGCCATATCTTATGGGGGCCAAAGTCATAGTGCACACCGACCATGCCGCCCTTAGGTATTTGATGACCAAGAAAGATTCCAAGGCAAGGTTGATGAGATGGGTATTACTTCTTCAAGAGTTTGATTTGGAAATAGTGGACCGGAAAGGTAGTGAGAACCAAGTTGCGGATCATTTGTCCCGCTTGGAGGAGGAAGGAAGGCCGTGCGATGGCTTGGAGATCAATGATACATTCCCTGATGAGCAACTACTTTCTGTGTCAATGTGTGATATGCCATGACTTGCGGAAATTGCTAATTTCATTGTGACCGGCATCATCCCGTGTGAGCTCTCTTCTAACCAAAGGAAGAAGCTCAAACGGGATAGTCTGGACTTCTATTGGGACGAGCCATACTTGTTCAAGATTTGCACGGATGGTGTGATTCGAAGGTGTGTCCCGGAGGGAGAGCAAATGAGTATTTTGGAGGCTTGTCATTCGTCCCCCTATGGTGGCCATCATGGAGGGGTGAGAACGGCCTCGAAAGTTTTGAGTTGTGGTTTTTATTGGCCAACCTTGTTCAAAGATGCAAGTGATCTAGTGAAAAGATGTGATCAATGTCAACGAGCGGGCGGGATTTCCAAGAAAGATGAGATGCCTCTGAACACAATTCTAGAAGTTGATATCTTTGATGTATGGGGTATCGATTTTATGGGCCCTTTTGTTAGCTCGTGTGGGAACACTTACATTCTTGTAACGGTTGATTATGTGTCAAAATGGGTTGAGGTCGTGGCCTTGCCCAACAATGAAGCTAGGAGTGTGGTGTCATTTCTAAAAAAGAGCATTTTCACAAGGTTTGGTACACCCCGGGCAATCATTAGTGATGGAGGAACGCATTTTTGTAATAGAGCTTTTGATACCTTACTATCCAAGTATGGTGTTAACCACAAAGTCTCTACACCTTATCATCCTCAAGCAAGTGGCCAGGTTGAAGTGTCTAACAGGGAGATCAAGAGTATTTTGTCCAAGACCGTCAATGCCAATAGGACCGATTGGGCTAAAAAGTTAGATGATGCTCTATGGGCTTACCGGACCGCTTACAAGACCCCAATTGGTATGTCACCGTATCGGTTGCTGTTTGGGAAAGCATGTCATCTACCAGTGGAGTTGGAGCATAAGGCCATGTGGGCTTTGAGGAAGCTTAATCTTGAGTGGGATGTTGCGGCCAATCTTCGTGTTGAACAACTCAATGAGCTTGATGAATTCCGGTTCCATGCATACTCTAGTTCGTCCTTATATAAGGACAAGATGAAGTACCTTCATG